TACCCCCCCCCCACACACACACACTCCACACACTTACACATATATACACAAAAAAAACAAAAACAAACACACACACACACACACACACACACACACACACACATACAAACACGCATATTCCACACACACACATACACACACACGCACGCACACAAATACAAACAAACGAACACACACGTCAATATGCATACACCAGCTTACGCAAACTCAGAAGCCCTATCACACACACACACACACTCACATACAAACACACACAAAACACACACACACACACATACAAATTCCCAAACAAACACACACATACAAAGACACTTTGATATAAAAAAAACAAGGATAAGAACCTGTTTCCCTGTGTCTCACCTGTCCTATCTCAGGTAAGAGAGATTCCCTGACGTCAGCCAACCTTCCCGGAGAGCACGGCGAGGCCAAGTGTGCGAAACTAAACACAGATATCGATGACGTCGTTGTCTCCTAGAGGTCAACGCTATCGGGTAAAGGTCAAGTTGAGCTCCCCATGCGTGAAAAACAATAAAAAAAAAATTTCTTAAAAATGTACCCCCTCCCCCTCAAGAAAAAAATACTATCTTTCCGTTTGAGTAAGAGTTTGATTGCACTTGTAAAACAAGCAGGTCACATAAGTTCCGAAGATTATCAGCATTGCTAGAGAGTAGCTTACAAAGAGAAAAAAAAAGCAGAGGAAAGGAAGATTTAAAACCCAAACTAATAATAATATCCATCTATGTTGAATAGAAGTCGAGATATGTGTGATCGAAAGAGATGAGAGTCGTTTGGTTTCAGAGCTAACCGCACCCTCACACACACACACACACACACACACACACACACACCTTTTTTAACTACCTACACCAGACCTTTACCCATCATCTGATAGACATTGACAACACCCAAAAGCCTGGACTGATATTTGATCGACGAAGGAATTTGGGAGCTATGAAAAAAGGAACGTCGCACCAAAATAAAATCAGAATGTTAAACATCAACAAAGTTGTTTGGTCTTGATTTCTTGATTAGAAAAAGGTTGTATTGTAATAGAGTAGTCTGCGCTTTTGTTCCCCTTCTTCAGGCTCCTTCTCTTTACCTACTCTCTCTCTCTCTCTCTCTCTCTCTCTCTCTCTCTCTCTCTCTCTCTCTCTCTCTCTCTCTCTCTCTCTCTTCTTTTCTCTCTCTCTCACACACATCTTAAGGTCTGTCCATTTTCTTTGCTTTGGGTGAAAATAATAATAATATCCATCTATCCTCAATAGAAGTCGAGATATGTGTGGATCGAAAGAGGTGAGGGTCATCTGGTTTCAGAGGTAAATAAGCGAGAAAGTGGCCGTCAAAGTTGAGTTATTTCTTTAGCTTGAGAGTCTGTGGAAACTGAAAATTTACATTTCTTCAGCCGTTAATCAACGTTTTTCAGTAAAAATCCACACTGAAATGCGCTCTTTAATGGGCATGAAATGTGGTGAGCCAAAAAACAAAAATTCGATAAAAATTCCCAAACATTAGGAAACATTTCTTGACTTTCGTTATTTTGACGAGCGCCTGATTTCACCACACTGCCTCTTAATAAGTAATAAGATAAGTAATAA